TCTTTACACTGGGTATGTAATTCCTCCTTTAGCTCTGAGAAATTTGATGGACTGAAGCCTTCTTCTCTCATCTCATCAAAGTCATTCTCCGTCCAGCTTTGATCCGTTGCTGGCAATGAGCTGCGCTCCTTTGCCAGGGGAGATGCGCTCTTATTTTTTGAATTTCCAGCTTTTCTGCCCTGCCTTTTCCCCATCTTTGTGGTTTTATCTGCCTCTGGTCTTTGATGATGGTGATGTACTGATGGGGTTTTGGTGTAGGTGTCTTTCCTGTTTGATAGTTTTCCTTCTAACAGTCAGGACCCTCAGCTGTAGGTCTGTTGGAGATTGCTTGAGGTCCACTCCAGACCCTGTTTGCCTGGGTATCAGCAGCAGAGGCTGCAGAAGATAGAATATTTCTGAACAGCGAGTGTACCTGTCTGATTCTTGCTTTGGAAGCTTCCTCTCAGGGGTGTACTCCACCCTGTGAGGTGTGGGGTGTCAGACTGCCCCTAGTGGGGGATGTCTCCCAGTTAGGCTACTCAGGGGTCAGGGACCCACTTGAGCAGGGAGTCTGTCCCTTCTCAGATCTCAACCTCCGTGTTGGGAGATCCACTGCTCTCTTCAAAGCTGTCAGACAGAGTCGTTTGCGTCTGCAGAGGCTTCTGCTGTGTTTGTTATTGTTTACTGTGCCCTGTCCCCAGAGGTGGAGTCTACAGAGACAGGCAGGTTTCCTTGAGCTGCTGTGAGCTCCACCCAGTTCGAGCTTCCCAGCAGCTTTGTTTACCTACTTAAGCCTCAGCAATGGCGGGCACCCTTCCCCTGCCTCGCTGCTGCCTTGCCGGTAGATCACAGACTGCTGTGCTAGCAATGAGGGAGGCTCCGTGGGCGTGGGACCCTCCCGGCCAGGTGTGGGATATGATCTCCTGGTGTGCCTGTTTGCTTAAAGCGCAGTATTGGGGTGGGAGTTACCCGATTTTCCAGGTGTTGTGTGTCTCAGTTCCCCTGGCTAGGAAAAGGGATTCCTTTCCCCCTTGCGCTTCCCAGGTGAGGCAATGCCTCGCCCTGCTTCAGCTCTCGCTGGTCGGGCTGCAGCAGCTGACCAGCACCGATCGTCCGGCACTCCCCAGTGAGATGAACCCAGTACCTCAGTTGAAAATGCAGAAATCACCGCTCTTCTGTGTCGCTCGCGCTGGGAGTTGGAGACTGGAGCTGTTCCTATTCGGCCATCTTGCTCCGCCCCCCCATTCATTTTCAATAAATGAATATTGAAGTCCTCTATTTCAATATTCATCCCTCAGTAATTGACTGAATATGCAAATACAAAACCAGTAAATATCAAAGATATTTAAAACACTATCAAATAAATTAATCTACTTGGGATTTATGAAACACTCCACCAAACAATAGCAGTCTATAAATCTGTTTTCATGCTGCTGATAAAGATATACACAAGAGAGTGCAATTTACAAAAGAAAGAGGTTTAATGGACTTACAGTTCCACATGGCTGGGAAGCCTCACAATCATGGTGAAAGGCAAGAAGGAGCAAGTCACATATTACATGGATGGCAAAGAGAGAGATTTTGCAGGGGAACTCCTCTTTATAAAATCATCAGATATTGTGAGACTTATTCACTATTATGAGATCCGCACAAGAAAGACCTGCCCTCGTGATTCAATTACCTTCCCCTTGGCCCTTGCCTTGATATGCAGGAATTGTGGGAGTTACAATTCAAGATGAGATTTGGGTGGAGAACCAGCCAAACCATATCATTCCACCTCCTAAATCTCATGTCCTCACATTCCAAAAAAGCTTGCCTTCCCAACAGTCCCTCAAAGTATAAACTCATTTCAGCTTTACCTCAAAAGTCCATGAAAGTCTCGTTCTGAGACAAGGCAAGTACTTTCAGCCTATGAGACTGTAAAATCAAACCAAGTTAATTACTGCCTAGATACAATGGAGGTACAGGCATTGGGTAAATACAGCCATTCCAAATGGAAGAAATTGGCCAAAACAAAGGGGGCACAGGCCCTATGCATGTCCAAAATCCAGCAAGACAGTCAAATCTTAAGGCTCTGAAATTATCTCCTTTGACTCAAGGTCTCACATCCAGGTCATGCTGATGCAAAAGGTTGGTTCTCATGGTCTTGGGTGGTCTTGGGTAGCTCTGCCCCAAAGGCTTTGCAAGGTACAGCCTCCCTCCTGGCTGCCATCATGGGTTGGCATAAAGTGTCTGTGGCTTTTCCAGGTGCACAGTGCAAGCTGTCAGTGGATCTACCATTCTGGGGTCTGGAGGATCGTGGCCCTCTTCTCATAGCACCACTACATGGTGCCCCAGTAAGGACTCAGTGTGTGGGCTCTGACCCCACATTTCACTTCTGCACTGCCCTAGTGGAGGTTCTCTATGAGGGCCCCACCCCTGCAGCAAACTTCTGCCTGGACATCCAGGCGTTTCCATACATCCTCTGAAATCTGTGCAGAGGTTCCCAAACCCTGATTCTTTACTACTGTGCACTGTCAGGCTCAATACCACATGGAAGCTGCCAAGGCTTGGGGCTTGCACCCTCTGAAGCCATGGCCCAAACTCTATGTTGGTCCCTTTCAGCCATGGCTGGAGCAACAGGGATTCAGGGCACCTAGTTCCTAGACTGCACACAGCACTGGGAATCTGGGTTTCACCTATGAAACCATGTTTTTCCTCCTGGGCCTCCAGGCCTGTGATGGAAGGGGCTGCCATGAAGACCTCTGACTTGACCTGGAGACATTTTCCCCATTGTCTTGGGGATTAAATTCGGCTCCTCATTACTTATGCAAATTTCTGCAGCCAGCTTGAATTTCTCTCTAGAAAATGGGATTTTGTTTCCTATCGCATTGTCAGGCTGCAAATTTTCTGAACTTTTATGCTTTGCTTCCCTTATAAAACTGAATGCCTTTAACAGCACACAAGTCACCTCTTGAATGCCTTGCTGCTTAGAAATTTCTTCTACTAGATACACTAAATCATCTCTCTTAAGTTCAAAGTTCCATTAATCTCTAGAGAAGGGACAAAATACTGCTGGTCTCTTTCCTAAAACATAACAAGAGTCACTTTTGCTCCAGTTCCCAACAAGTTCTTCTTTTCAAATGCACATAGAAAATTTATACACACACATACACACACACACACACAATGGAATACTATTTAGCCATAAAATAGAAGGAAATCCTGTCATTTGCAGCAACACAGATGAATCCTGTCATTTGCAGCAACACGGATGAATGCACGGAGTGCATTATGTTAAGTGAAATAAGCCAGGCACACAAAAACAAAGACTGCATGATCTAACTTATTTCTGAAATCTAAAAAAGTTGAACTCGTAAAAGCAGAAAGTAGAATAGTGATTACCAGAGGCTAGGAGGGGAGATGGAAGCTGGGTTGGTAAGAGGCACAGTTAGAATTAGACAGTAAGTGTAAGTTATTGCAGTCTATTACACATTAGGGTGACTATGGCTAATAACAATGCAGTGTATGTATCAAGATATCCTGAAGCGAAGATTTAGAATGTTATCATCAAAAAAATTGTTTAAGGTGACAGATATGCTAATTACCTTAATGTGATCATTGTACAAGGTATACACAATCATTGAAATATCACACTGTACCACAGAAATATGTAAAATTGTGTCAATTATAAATACAAATAATTGTAAAAGAAATTAGAAAAAAAAGGGCAAACTATCTCCAAAGTAAGCTACAGAAGAGCAAATTAGGCAAAAAGTAAACAGACAAAAATGACAAAAGTAAAAGTAAAAATCAATGAATAACAAAAAAATAGAAACAAATGCTGGTCCTTCAAAAAGATCAATAAAATATATATTCCTCTAGCCATATTGATCAAGAAAAAAGAAAAGACATTATTAATATCATGAATGAGACACGTGTCATATCACTAAAGATTCTACAGGATAATTGTATATTTTGAAAAAATATGCTAATAAGTTTGACAACTTAAATGAAATGGATAAATTCCTTGCAACACAGAATAATTATTTATGTATTAATAAAATAGAATAAGCAGTTAAAACATCCCTCTCAAAACACTCCATGTCCGTATGGCTTCACTAGTGAATTCTACCAAATATTTTAAGGAAAAAGTACACCTACTCTACACGAGCTACTCCAGAAAATAGAAGAGAAGTAAATAATTTGTATTGTCTAGATCTAATAAAGCATTTTTATTAAATTTTATTTGATAATATTTTAAGAAATTTTATGAATAGTAGGAGTAAAAATGAGTATGTTGAAAACAACTTTATTAGAAATATTGTTAAGCATCTAAACATAGCTAAACAAGATTTTCTTTCTAATTTTTCCAATTTTAAAAGTATATGCCTACCAAATCTACAATGCCTCAACTGCTCCCCAATCATCATGCCAGAACCTGCAACATATCCTTCTTGTAAGCTGTGATTTCATATTTCTAATATATTTCTAACAGGCTCATGCTTATCACTACTTTGGATTCTTGCGTTTGCACCATCAAGACACTATACCCTTGGGAATTTCAATGGCTCATAATTTTGTTGAAGAGAGGACAATTTGCTTATCCTGTCAAATCAGTTTAGCCAGAATCCCCTATCTTCCATATCCGATCCCTCAATATCTGATCAAATTTCTCACCCACCACTATCCCCCAGGTAATATATGATCTCCCTCCCCTGCCATCAGTAAAAATCCTTTTAAGTCAGTTTAGCAAAAAATTATCTATCTTCTTAATGATTTTCAATCCACTACCTTGCATTCTTCTCCTTGGCTATAAATTCCAATTTGTCTTTGTTGTATTCAGCATTGAGAACAATCTCTTTCTCCTACTTCAATACCTCATGGCAGTAGACCCTTGAAATCCCTTGAATAAAGTCTAAACTGCCATCTTTAACAAGTGTTATTATTTTTCCTTTAACAGTTTTTGTTGCTCTGACTTGTATAGGATCAAATTCATTATTGGATTCCCAATCTTCTGACCCAGAATCCCAAGCACCTACCTTTGAAGCTATTGTCTTCACTTCTGGTTGATTGATGGATGAGCCCTTGGTGATTTAGACTCCTGAGCCAGTGCTCCAAATGATAGTCTGTTGAAGTACAGTTAAGGCAGAGAGAGTCTCAGTACACTATACAAAGGCTGAGTTAGTCCTGTTTCTTTTTTTTAGAAGTTGGTTTAGTCACAGGTTTCTTTGTTAGGAAGGTACTGGCTGGATTGTAAGTCTTACCTCCTGTTTCTGTCTTTGAGTGGGAATTTACTTCTTGAATCCCTGAGCTGAAATATTTTCCTTGATTATTTGTGAGGCCACTCTGTTCTATTTGATCCTATTTCTCCCATGGTAACTTTTTAGTCAACAGAAACCCCCTTCTTAAACCCTTACTGATCGTATACTCCACTTCCTTACTTGTGGTCATGGTTTTGCTAAGGATAATTTGAGACTTCAGGATCTCTTTGGGAAACTGAAGATTTTCCCGAAGTGAGTCTTCTGAGATCTCTTCCTTCCCATTGTTTCTGCTCCCCATTCATCCTTTTACTACCTTCAATCTACCCTTCAACTTTCTTGAATCTTTTGACACGTGCCTCTTCAGACCTCTTCCCTCTGCCTACCTGTCCTCCCAGACGTTTTTCCTTCCTGCTTCAGCCATTCAATCACTTGAACTTTAGGTCTCCTATTTCCATCATAACTTTCAAGGGACTCTAGGACCCCAAAAGCAATTGTCTGAGGTTGAAAAAGGGGGAAAAAAAGACTGATTGAAAAATAGTTTGGATATTTTATCCAGATGAGGCTTTGAAGACATCCAGATAGGTGCTTGATGTTCTTTCAGTCTCTTGCCTAAAATGTAGTCACAGCCTCCATAATATTGCATATATGGGCAAAAGAAAATCTTAAATGTGTCTTCTCCACAAATATTGGCTAAAAGCTTTAGCCTTCCTATTGAGAAGGTAACCTTAACTTGTTGCATCTGTCAGAAACGCAATGGATAAAACTATAAAGTAGAGGACATAAGAGAGTATTACTGTGTTGTCTAACTCCTGGCTAAAGTTTTAGAATAAAACCTTTACGATCTCTTATAATATATGTATACATTACATTATATATATGCAATATATATTCATATATAATACCTATATGTATAGAATATATATATCCCATTCTCTGTATATATAGAATATATGTATATCCCATTCTGTAAATCTAGAGAATATATATTATATATATGTATATGCAGTATACATGATAATATATATCATAATATACATGAGATTTCTCTGTGGATGGTATTAGCAAATTACTTAGTACTTTCTTTTTGTTTTTTAGAGACAGATTCTCACTCTGTCACTCAGACTAGAGTGCAGTGGTGCAATCACAACTCACTGTAGACTCAGATTCCTGCGTTCAAGGGATACTCCTGCCTCAGTGTCCCAAGTAGCTGGGACTACAGGCATGTGCAACCATGTCCAGTTAATTTTCAAATTTTTTTCTAGAGGTGGGGTCTCACCATGCTGTCCAGGCAGGTCTAGAAGTCCTGGGCTCAAGCAATCCTCCTACCTTTGTCTCCCAAAGTGTCAGGATTACAGGTATGAGCCACCACACCTGGCCTAAAATTTCTTAAGTTCTATTCCAATTTTCAGAGATAAATATGTGCTTATATAAGGCAAATATTTCTAAAACTCTCAGAAACTAATTCAAATACTTTTCGAATTCACATGAAATGGATGTATATTTGACAATTAATACTAGCTTCATATTGTTTGTTTCATAAAAACAACTACATTTTCTGGTATATCAGCATTCAGTATAATATGAACATACATTTTTATTCTACTTGGGCTTACTAGTTGAATCAGGTAATATGTCTTCTAGATATTTAGGAATATAAACAATTATCAGTTTGACCTTAGAATAAGTATACAAGTAAAGGTACAGTAAAGAAGAGTTGTTTGATGCCCATTACTTCATATTTCTCAAGACAGCCATAAAACCCAAAACTGCGTGTTTAACTTCGTTGGTTTTTGCTTTTGTGATGCTTGCCTACCATGATGATGTTAACTGTAAAAACAGTTAACAGGGAAGTAAGTTGAGATTGTGGCTAGCTTTGCCTTGTATTACAATATCGTTGCCAAAAACAGTTTCCAAATTATTTTTGTTAACTTGAAGCTTTAAAGTTTTTCTAAGCTGTATTAAGTAATAAATATTCATTAAATATCTAGGTCATTTCTAAGTAATATGAACTACTGAAACACTAATTGTTAAGCATTAGGTTTAATTTTATAGATTTTTTGGCATTTTATTTTAAAAATGAGACTAAAGATATTTGGACCTGTTAATAAACATGTTATTTTGTCACATAAAAATTGTGCTATGAGGAAGCATGAACCTATAAGAAATTTTGAGACGATATATTCATAAAATTTGCTAGTCTGCTACATAATGCAAGACAGACAATTTACAGTCATCTTCTTCCCAGTTTTCTCAGTCAAAAGAAATATTACTAATGGTCAAAAGCGATCATCAATATATGTAATTAAAACTACTAGAAATAACAACCATGAAGAGAAACATCTTTGTATGTAGAGTATGCAAGGAAAATATGATATGTTTTCAAGAAAAATAATTCGATGTATGAAGAATGTATTTTTTGTCAAGGGAACAGGAGGGTAATTTTGTCCTAAAATAAAATGATTAGTTGTGCCAGAATCAGAAAAAAAAGAGAGAGAAGGACAAAAGCTAAACAGATATAGAAAGTTGTAAAAAGTTCATGGAAGAAAGAATTTTATATGTTTAAGCTGGTAAGATTGAACAGATTTATTTACAAAGTTTTGTAAAAGAAGAAGAAGAAGAAGAAGCAGAAGGAGGAGGAGGAGGAAAAGGAGAAGGAGAAGAAGAAAAAGAAGAGAGCCCAATGCTATAATAATGCAAAACTAGATTTTTTTTTCTGTTGAAAATGCCCGTTTTCTTGGATTACAGTACAAGGTCTTTTTGTTTGTTTTACCTTTTAAGTAATCTTCCTAGGAAGCCAAGATTTTGTGTCTTATCAAGTTAGTTTTCTGTGTTTATGTTAACCTTTACCATTGGCCTTGATTATTTAAGAGAACTGAGAGCTTGCAATTTAAAAGCACTAAAACATTTTACCTGTTTTACAGTGTTGCCTTTTCAAAACAAATCTTAAGCAAAATCTTGTTCTCGAACTGATCTTGAAATTTCTCGAAGGGACCCTGAATAATTTCAAAAAAATTGTTCTTTCACCTTGTAAAGAGAAATGCTAAAAATAGTTTGGTTTATTTAATTGATACATTGCATTGCATGAAAAAACACTTTCAAATAAGATACTTTAACTTTCCCTAAATTATATTTTTTTATGGGCAAACATTAGGCATTTTAGAAATTACATAAAATTCCTAGAAATTTGTCAATGTCCCTTCTGTCCACAATATATCTTGGTATAATATCATCAGGGGTGGCTCTAATTTTTATTTAAAATATTATATGCCTCAAAAATAGCCAAATTATCTTGTCCTTTGGGTTATTTTTATATTGAACTCTCATTACATGTTAATTTCCATTTTAAATTTTTTGCCATTCACTCATATTCTGATTCTTCTCCAAAAATATTTGCAATCAGCTACAAGTCATAATGCTTCATGATGGTGTTGATTAATTTAGAGACCATAGTATAGTACTGAATTAAGGATTTTCAGAACTAGAGTAGAGAAGGAAATGGGTTTATGAAATTCCTAACCCAAGAGCAAGGAGAACAAAAATTATTTGTTCTGATGGATGATAATGAACTGAAGAAAAGTGATTATGGTTTCGTTTGAAAGTTTGTTGGTTCTTTAATGCTCTACTTTCTGGATATAAGCACTCTTTTCATTTTTCTCATATTTATAGAACCACAGAACAAGCCCAATCTGGTTCAACTTTGAATAATAAAATGGTGAGTTATTTTTCAGTTGCCATGGATTCTGGGTTGCAATTATGTAAATTGCTTATGTTCAGATAAACCACGTGTAACTGTAGTTAGAAACTAAATTCTAGGATCACAAATCAGGGACTGAATTAAGAAGGGGATATCTCATGACATAATCCAATCAGATCAAGTCCTGACACCACCCCATGGCACAATCCAGTCGGATCATGCCTCATGGCATCATCTCATTGTAAGATGCAATCAGCTCACACCTTGTTACCCTCTGCCTATAAAACCTGCCCCAGTCCCCAGTCTTCAGAGGCAGATTTGATCACTGCCTTATGTCTCCTTGCCAATTAACTCACAATAAAACTTTTATTTTCTCAAAGACTTGTGCCACATTGGGCAGAGAAGCCATTGCTTACTCAGTAACATTTACACTTGTAAAAATCAGTAGATTATACTTTTGTAAATATAATATTTTCTCCTCGATCCTTCTAGAATTTGTAAACTATTGAATATTCTTATTTTCCTGGCAATACAGTTATTTACCTGAATTTAATAAGAATCTGTTCTCTTTGTAACAGAACACAATTGGAAACATTGGTTATATTTATAATGCTTTGACTTCAATGTCATATTTGAGAATGATGTGTATAGAATCCAAGTTATGGAATTTAAGTTAGTTTTATAGAACCAATTTTTACAAAGCTATCTTAAAAAATCTGGCCCAATAATAATTGGCTTCTAGGGTTCCTAGCCATACAGATGAGTAAGGAAGATCACTTCCTAGCAGGCCCAGGGAAGATGGGCTATCTTGGGAACCTCAAGAAGAGAGGAATTCATTCAAATCTATAAGTACCAGAAGTGAAGTCTGATGGCCAGTTCTTATTAGCTTCAAGAGGTTTTTGAAATTATAACCTGAGATTCCTTATGAAAAGTTCCAGCAAAGAAAACTCAAAAAGACCTATGTGGTCAGTTACCATTCTTCCTTTCCTTATGTAAATAATCAGGTCAAATCTAATGAGACCAGATTTATTTTGTCTTTTAAAATAGAATAACCTCACTTTAGTTATCTTTGATAAAAAATGAGCGTGACTAGAAAGATGCATTTTATGTTTCAGTGGAAAAATACAGTGCACTCTTGTGAGTTCTCGATTATTCTAGCTTTTTTCCAGTATCCATCTACAACTTCCAATTTTCTCTCACCCTCCTGACTTGGAGTCAATGAGATGTAAAACTGTCCTTTTTTCAAAACTTTGCAAGCTGAAGCTCGACTATGTGATATAAACTTCATGGAAATCACTGTAACAGATTATGAATAGACAGCCTTTTTGCTTGTTGCTGTGTGGGCCATGCAGAATGTTCATGGAAACACTTCATGCTATCACTGAAAACATTCAACCTGCAAACCCAGAAACTTTGTCAGTTTGCCACTGCCATCCCCACTTCACTACCTAAAGATGCTTCAAACTCAAATCAAGATGTCTTCTTGAATGGCGGCCCTGTGGAATCAGAAACTGGATTTCTAACCATTAATTTTTAAAAAAATTTTCACAGAAATTCCCCGCATTAAATTCCTGACTGCTAACCCATCCAGCAAACATACTATACTACCATCTCCCAACAGGTGCTTCAGCTTGTCCTCAATGAGCAAAAGATAACTCAAAAAGAAATGGACTTGTTTTGTTCAATGGAAAAAACAATATTTCTTTTCTTGAACAAGAGGAGGGACTGACAAAGAATCTTTTCTTGACCAAACTTTAATCAGTCTCCTCTGAGCCGAACTAGGCCCCATGTTGGGCATATCCTTCAAGAGCCTAGTTTTAGCACTTACCCTGTAGAGTCAGCTTAGCCAAAATCCCTTGCTCTCCACATTTCATCCCTCTCAATATCTGATCAAATTTTTTATCCACCACCATCCCTCAAGTAATGACTGATAAATCTATCTTGCATTAAGCAAGAAACTTGCTGGGTCATTCTTGCAAATAATTACTCTACTCTCTTAGTGATTTTTCCATCCACTGACTCACATCCTACTCCTTGGCTATAACCTTCTACTTTTTGTATTCAGAGTTTAGCCCAATCTATCTCCCCTACTACAAAACCCATTGCATTAGTCCCCATGAAGCTACTTGAATAAAGTCTACTTTATGTTTAATAAGGGTCATCATGAATAATTTTCTTTCTTTAACAGCATCTAAGAATCTGATTCATCTAATAATTGTGAATTATATAATTCTCTAATAATTATGACTCACATAAAGAGTATCTTCCTCTATTTATATTTTTCTCTTTATCATTATCATAGGAAAATTAAAAATTCTGCATTTTCAACTGTGTTCAATGAATGGTTGAATACACAGATTAAAGGATAATGTCTTTAGAATTTTACTTACCTACTTGAAAGACTGCAGTACTTTGGGCAGCACAATACCAATAGTGAAGAATACTATCCTGAAATGGTTCATTATTTCAATACCGCATCTTCTACTTAGATGAGTCCATCATTCTTCCATTTTCTAATTATTTCAATCTGTGCTTTAGCATGGTTAGAATAATTTATGTGTGATGAAATACTCTCTATTAACATGAAATAGTAAAATATTTCAAGATATAAAAAATATAAGATCACCATGATCTGGTAGTATATCATAAGATTTACCAAAAGGTCTAATGGGCTTATATGCTAATTATAATTTATAATGAATGTGCCATTTAAACAAGAATAAGTATTCTCTTTTTTGGTCTGGTAGAATTCCAGTGAAGTATAAATATCATCATACATCAAACTTTAAAACAAAAAATGTGTTTAAACAAACAGACGAAAAAATCAATAAAAACAAAAAACTAATTGGTTTCAACAGACTCTGATGATTTATCAAAGGTGAACAGTATTTTTTGATGAGCAGCCATTTTTAATGTTGATGATAAAGTCAAGTTCATTAACTTTTTTGGTATCGCTTTTGTGTATTCTAACCATTGCTTAATTAGTATAATGGAAATATTCTCATATGCTTTCTTCCAGGGGCTTTAGTTTTTAGGGTAGGTATAATAACCATCTTAAATTAAGTGTATGGTGTGAAGAAGAGGATGAAGTCCCTTTTCTACCCTATTTATTCAGTCATATTGGGTGCCTTTGTTGAAAATCAATTGTGTATATATGTGTGGTTATATATTTGAAGTCTCTATTTGGTATATGTCTCTATTTTTCCTTATATCAGTATCATACTCTCTGGATTACTATCTGAAATATGATGATGTCAGTAATTTGCATTATTATGGAAGTTTTATCATCAATTGTCAATTTTGACAAAAACAAACCAGAATTTTAATTAAAAATTTGTTGGGTCTGTAAATTATACAATCCACTTACCAATTTCTACCAAAAAATTATTTAGAATTTGAGAATTTGCTGGATGCACAAATAAATTATTTGAATCTAAAAATGTATTTTTCCCAACATGGTATTTATTTATATTTATTCAAGTCATCTTTAATTTGAGCAATGGTTTTATTTTTTCAGTGATTCTGACATCTTTCATGGCTTGTAAAATTTATTCCTAATAATTTTGTCTTTTTTCTATTATTACAAGTGATTTTTGCACATATGTTTCCTGCTACTACATAGAAATACAATTTATTTTTGTATATTGATGCCTTGGATCCTGTGACCTTGTTAAATTTAACCATCATGATATTGACAAGCAATAAACAGATTTAATACTTCTTTTCCAATCTCTAAGATTTTAACATTTTGTTGCTGTTATTGCTGCCTTATTTCCATGGCAATACGTAAATGGGCTTCCAGTCACATGTTAAATAGAAGTTATTAAAACAAACTTCTGTGCTTTGTTATGATGTTAGGAAGAAAGCATTAAGTATTTCAATATAAGGTAAGAAGACAGCGGTAGTTTTCTTACAGATGCACCTTATCACACTGAGGACATTTCCTTCTATTCCTGGATTGATGAAGTTTGATATTGAGAATAACTGTGGGATGAATTTTGTCAAATATTTTTTCTCCATCTGTTGAATTTAGGGAGCTTTTTCTTCTCCTTTATTGTGCTATATGATGGATTATACTTGCTGGTTTTGTAATTTAAACCAAATAGAAGTATACATTAAGTAATTATATAATTATTTTTATATACTGTTGATTTGCTAAGATTCTCTTTCTGCGTTTATGTTCTTCAGAAATATTGATACGTAATTTTCTTTTTTATTTTCCAAAATCTTTGTCAGCTTTTGCTATTGGAGTGCCAATCTCAGAGAAACCTTCAGTCTAGGGCTAATTTTGCCTTATAGCCAAGGCATACCCTTCTGAGTACTCTAATGACCCACATATTACAAACTTTTTCATTTCAGTTAACAGAAATAAGAATTAGTCTTCTTTTGTGTGTGTGTTGCAGAAGACATTGCAACTGTTCCTTTCCAGTGATTCTTTAGCAACCTTGAATAGTTTGTTCACACACATGCCATGATAAATGTTCAGACATAAAATAATCCCTTTCTCTCTCTCCCTCTCTGCGGTTGTGTTTTCCATGCAGCTTTCTCCTCTCCAGTATCTGCTTGACAATTATAATTGTCAAGCAAGAATCCAAGTATCTTAGCTATGTCTCTTCAATTCAGAGAGATCAGTCGTCTCTTTGACTTCACTCTGCTTGTATTGTAACCCAGAAACTGTAGCCAGTAAGATATAAAAATAACCTCATTTCCACCCTCCACCCATCAGGAATCATTGTCTTGTTCTGCCTGTTTTATAATGTCTAAATTTTGTTTTACATATATTAATTCTACTTTTTTTTTTAGTTGTTTAAGGATAGAAGTAAATCTGATCCCTATTTCTCCATCATGGTAAGAAGCATCTTTCTGGTTATAAGATTATTTGCCTACACATTCTTTCCTTTATTTTCTTGAAAACATTGCTCCATTATTGTCTTGCTTTCTGTGTTACTGCTGAAAAATCTAATCTTGCCTGCTTTTCTTTCCATTATAAATGACTTGTCAAACATGAATGAGTTGGTTGTGTAGCTTAGAGGCTTGCTGAATATTTTATCTTTAAAGTGGAATCATATATGTTTTGGGGTTGTCAATTCTTCGTTAAGTACTCAAGAATTACTGAAGAAAATCAGAAAAATCACTCTTGATCACTTGATATTTAATTGTGTGTTTAATTCTAAACAGAACATAGGGAATATAGTGTAAGAATAATGCATAAATGTTATACATTCTGATAATGCCAGAAAATACCCAACTAAAAATACAAGGAGATAGAAAGGGGGAAGTAGTATAAACTAATACATCTACACTGTATAGATAATAGGTGTAAGTCATAAACTATTATTTAAAGCAAAACAGACATTAGAAGCAAAGTTAGAAAACGAGACTAATGAAATAAAGATAATTGTAAAAGCTAACTACTTAAACAAAACTGCAAGAGTTCCTAAATACCAAAATGAATACAAGAAAAATATCTGCAAAACTACCAGTGCTATGGCTTGAATGTCTGTCTCTTTTAAAACCCATGTTGAGGATGGGAGCAGTGGCTCATGCCTATAATCCCAGCACTTTGAAAGGCCGAGGCGGGCAGATCACGGGGTCAGGAGTTCGAGACCAGCCTGGCCAACGTGGCGAAATCCCGCCTCTACTAAAAATACAAAAAGTAGTCAGGGGTGGTTGTAGGTGCCTATAGTCCCAGCTACTCAGGAGGCTGAGACAGGAGAATTGCTTGAACTCATGAGGCAGAAGTTGCAGTAAGCCAAGGTTGTGCCATTGCACACCAGCCTGAGCAACAGAGCAAGACTCTGTCTCAAACAAACAAAACCCATGTTGAAAGATAATCCCCAGTGTAACAGTATTAAGAGGTGAGGCCCTTAAGAGGTGATTGGATCATGAGGCTTCTGCCTTTGTGAATGGATTAATCTACTCATGGATTAATGGGCTAATAGATTAATGGGTTATCACAGGAGGGGTTAGTTATCACAAGAGTGGGTCTATTATAAAAGTTAGCTTGACTCTCTTGTGCCCTTTTAGCCTTGTGATGCCTTTTGCCATGTTGTGATGTAGCATGAGGCCCTCACCAGAAGCCAACCAGATACTGCTACCTGATATTGGACTTCCCAGACTCCAGAACTGTAAAAAATACATTTCTGTCTATATAAATTACCCAGTCTCTGTATTCTGAGATGGCAACAGAAAACACACCAACACAATCACAAAGGGAAATATAATACAATGAGCAACTTTCTAAATCAGAAACACAGAAGGTGCAAGAAGTCAAAATTCCTAATAATAGGGGCCTTTAATTTTCACAGTTCAATATAAGTCAAGAGGCCAAAAATTGCCAAATATCACCACAGTAAATTGCATGAGCCAAGAACTTTTAGAGACATAAGCACAAGTTTATGGGTTCAAAAACACAGTGAAGGAAATTAATATTCTTCTCTCAGAATTTCCTAGTTTGAATAGTTTAAACATTAACAAAGACAGAGAATATAAAAAATGCAAAGTTATCTTTTAGAATTTTAATTTTGTGTGAGTTTTGGTCAACAAAGTACATATGATAGGTAGAGATTAAAAAAATATTTCATACCTGACCATAAACCAGTATAATTCAGAATATTACAACAGAGGAGAGAACCACATTGCATGAGAGATATGTTGTTGGCTTATAATAGTATAGTAGAAAATGAGATGAGAGAATTGAAGATATTTGGAAGCAAGTTATTTCCTAGGTAGTAGGATAGGGCTAATAGGCAGAAATTTAAATTTATATTTTAAATCCATAGATGCAGTAAAAACTTTAGTAACTTAGGGTACCAGTGTAAAAAATGTATGTTAATATAATTTGTGAATAATACTGATTACTAGGAATAAACACTACATTGAATGTGGCAGACACAAACTCACCATTCTTTACCAGCTCCAAGGGTTAAAAGAAAGTAAAATTTTGGTCTCAAATTTGTAACCAGGTGAGCATACCCTGATAATATAAACTTCCATGTCACAAGCTACTGCCTGAAAATATCATTCATGCAAATGAAGATGACTTACTTGAGCAGTAGATTTTGGTTCCATGTTCAAATAACATTTTATCTGCTAGATTTTTTTTTGTTTTGTTTTGGAATAATATTACAAAGGACAAGTATGTTTTTCTTTTAAGGCCATGAGTTGATTGTTACAGATTAGGTTCATTTGAAAAGTGGTAACTCATATTATCTTGATTTGAGTGAACTGTTTTTCAGGATGATACATCATCTTTATATATCCTGAATGTTATAGACATTTGTTTGCTAACAGCATATCCCACAATACCTTTTATTTCTTTCACACCCAATGGGAAATCATGAGGGTATTTTGTTTACTAATTACGTTGCGTTTTCAAAAACAGCTTCATCACAACTTTCTGATCCAAGGCTATTGATTACAGGACACAGTTATGGAAGCAAGGTTGTAACAATATCCTTACTTCTCTGTACCAAATATATGCAGCATTGGCATGTCTGCTTCAATAAGACTTAATCAGTTTTTGTTTGAATTATATGCGTTTTCAGAGAACTGGGTGAGGCCGGGAGCAATACTCAAACCTGTAATCCTAGCAATTTGGGAGGCCGAGGCATGTGGATCACCTGTGGTCAAGAGCTTGAGACCAGCCTGGCCAAAATGGAAAAACCCCATCTCTACTAAAAATACAAAAAAAAAAAAAAAAAAATTAGCCAGGAATGCTGGCGGGCACCTGTAATCCCAGCTACTCGGGGGCTGAGGCAGGAGAATCGCTTGAACCCGGGAGGCGGAGGTTACAGTGAGCTGAGATCGCACCATTGCACTGCAGCCTGGGCAATAAAAGAGAAACTCCATCTCAAACAACAACAACAACAACAAAAACAAAAACAAAAAAACCTGGGTGGTGGGCCTGCTGCAGTGGCTCATGCTAATAATCCCAGCACATTGGGAGGGCTGAGTTGGGAGGATTGCTTCAGGACAGGTGTTTGCAACCAGCTTAGGCAACATAGTGAGGCATCATCTCCACAAAAATTAAAAAAAAAATAGCCAGGCTTGGTGGGACATGCCTGTGGTCCTAGCTACTTGGAAGACTGAAAGACTGAGGTGGGAGGATTGCTTGAACTCAGGCAAACAAGGCTGCAAAGAACTATTATCACACTACTGCACACCTGGGTAATGAAGAATTAAGACCTTGTCTCTTCAGAAAAAAAAAAAGTAAAAAGAAACAGATGAGTGATGAATGTTCATTTACATCAAAGTAATATTTCAAAATATAAACATTAAAATTATTTTGAAGTGATACTGTACCAAGTAATTCATTTTTAAAATAGAAATAAATCATTTCGCTCTGTAGTTCCCCTCATAAAAGACTATTATATGTGGATATATGGATAAATATACTAACATAAAAAATACAATTATATATTCATGCATTTACACTTAATTTTGAAATTATACATAATGTGGCATATATTCCTATACATATAAATGCACAATTATACATATATAAATAGAGCTATATTCACCTATAAATCTGTGAGCACGTACTATTCTTCCACACCATTTAGTACCGGTCCTACCTGAATTTTACCTACGGTTTACAAACCACTAACAAAAAGAATATACGGCTTTTCTAGTGTCATGACGGTCCACAGAATCTTGGTTAAAAAACGAACAAAAAAAAGACTTTGTTAGTAAATTCTTTTCTCTCCTACTCTCATAAATATTATCATTTTCCATCATTCTATCCAAGCTTTTCCTCTTTTTCTTTGTTGCAATATTTTTGGTATTACAGAACTTCTCCTACAGCCATATTTAGAGCTTCAGCTAGGACTCCTTCCTGAATCCCAATATCAGCTTTTGAATAATGACTATTCTCTTTACCTATTTTTCTGCTGACCAATAAAACACAATGCATCTAAAACTGTAATTTTCCTTTCCTGCCAGCTTCTCCTTCCAGGTTCTTATTTTTGGTAGGCTCAGTTTTCTCAGGGCTAATTTTATACCTTTTATTCTCTCATAATTAGAGACATGCCAAGTCCTCTCGTCCTCAATATCTCACCTGCCACAATGTTTCCTATTTAGTTATCACTGCAATAATCAAAGTTCCCGTTAATACTTCCTTTAATTTTGGCAACAGCATTACATTACTGATGGTTTTCCCTACCTGTTCATTACAATTTTGAAGCATCAACCCCTAAACCGGAAGTGGGAAACTAGTTTTGGACGTTCCATCCCTAAACCAGAAGAGGGATGATCCGCCCTTGAGAAGAGATCTTGATGCATTCCCAGCCTACAAGCTTTAAGCAGATGCCTGCTTGACGATGTTAATGGGGGAAACGTAACAATCCTGCCTGGCTGTGCTGCGATGTGAATCAAGAAGGCTGCCTGCAAATGATCTCAGTTAACTCAGTAAGAAACAGTCATGGCAACATCATGTGTTAGCGTGAACCTCAGCCAGCCCTGTTTGGAGCTCCAGGGGGAGGTCCTTTCAGGTCAGGGTTTCCCCGGACCTCATAATTTATGCTATGAAAATTGTGCAGAAGTCGGTCTGCTTTCGCCCTGCTCTTGGCAAGAACTGGGGGAAGAAACCTAATGCCCCTTCGAAAGTATGTATTAATTTTTCAGGGCCTGGAATTTGCTGAGCTTGTAATTGTATTCTGCATTTTATGAAAAAAAATGACAATGAGGAGTGCCAAGGAGTACTTGGGAACGTGGAGGGCTTGAACAATTTATTATTATTATTATTATTATCATCATCATCATCATTATTATTTATTTTGAGACAGGATCTCTTGCCAGGTTGGAGGGTTCAAATGATACTCCCACTTCAGCCTCCTGAGTAGCTGGGACTACTGGCATGTGCCACCATGCCAAGCTAATTTTTCTTTATTTTTCATTTTCTTTTTCTTTTTTTTGGAGAGGCGGGGATTTGCCATGTTGTCCAGGCTGGTCTTGAACTTCGAGCGCCAGTGATCAGCCTCAGCTTCCTGAAGTGCTGGGATTACAGGTGTGAGCCACCACACCCGGCCTCTGTGTCCTACTTCTGTTTTTTTCATTTCTGATGTGAAATAAACAAAGTTTATTCTGTTTTGTAATAATAAGAGTAGTTATATTAAATAATAGTAAGGCTGGTGCAAAAGTAATTGTGGAAAAAGCGCAATTACTTTTGCACCAACGTGTGTGTGTGCGTGCGCGCGCAATTTTTTTTTTTTCTTCTGGGAAATAAAAAAAGGAACTGGGGCCCAGTGTCCTGGAAACTGGAGTACTTCTAGCACTGTCTCCCTTTGCTGCCTCCCAACAAGCTGTTTGTGCTGTGGTCATGCCAATCAGCTGGGCTTTGAGGAGGAACTGGAGGACCAGCTATGAATGCACTGTGAGCGAGCATCTCCCATCTTGACGTATGGAAGGCAGAGGTCTGGCATCCTTTGTGTCAGGACACTGAAATTTATCCAGATTAAGTATAACCTTTGCCCAAATCCACCTGTCTGGAAGAAGCACATTGCACAGTTGCCACCACAGTAAGTCTTGGATTGCTTGAGACAGGAGTTTTAGCAATTGCTGCAATAACTGGAGGAAGAAATAAAAATCCTTAGCAGCTTCATATAGAGAGTTTCAAGATGGTGACTCAGGATCTGAGCTGTCAACTCCAACAGTTCCCTCTGATTTTTAATGACCTTAAAGTGCTTTCATTTAGTGCCTTACTTGTATATAATCTCACATATTTTGTAAATGCAAAGCAAGTAAGCACATTCAAGGGCTATTGATCAATTACTTTTATTTCTTTGAGGTTCTGCACAATTGAACATCCCTGTGTTTTGGACACTTGAAGCTTGTAGGTGAGTGGTAGTAAGTATACAATTCCAAATAAATGGGCTACATTCCTTTCTCATGCACAGCACCTAACCGACTATTATTTCACATTGAACGCCAGTGGAATTATTCATAATTTCCAGGTGGCTCACATAGAATAGGCAAGGACTGAGATTTGCTTGTAGGATGAATAGGAAAAAAAAGAAATCAAGCATAACTTAAAAGTAATTACCCTTTTTTGGGAATGGAGCCCCAAATCTTTGATGAATTGTCATCACATATCAACTAAATGTACTCAACTGGGCCAATTCTTTTTCTAGAAGGAAACACTAATGCAATTTATTAGGACACTACTCTAAAAGACAAATGCGATGTTCCTGTGTCATCAAGTTTTGTCACAGGGTTGAAATGACCTATCCCAGTGAAATTTCAGAGCCAGAAGATTTTCAAGTACCTATATGGAACCAGAGGGAGATAGAATGACCTTGCCAGGACTTGGACTTGTTTGGCAAAAGCCCTGGTTAAAGCCAGACCCAAGCTGTGGAAACTAATATTTTGTGCAGACAGGATAGTTCCAAGGAAGCTGTGCATTTTCCTGATACCAATGTTATCATCCCTGTGCCTGAACGTGTCTCCTGGGACAATGCAACAGATATCTAGGAAAGTTCTGTTGGACTAACCTTTGCAATTCAGAATTGAGTGGTAGCAGTCCTGTATTCAAGGTGAGGACACTTAACACAGAAGTAAAAACCAATCTGTATGTTAGTTCTAGATTCCCCACTCCTGATTAGAAAAATTTAGGGATTCAACTACTTAGAAGCACGTAAAGCTGAGAAGGATGTTATTGGTGCAACACAGTGTATATTCATTCTCAAAGGCCTACGTGTAAATTTTTTTTTTTTTTTTTGGTATGCAGACAGGTTTTTCTACACAATTTCTTTCCACCTTAGGTGTGCTACATTTCTGTGCATTAGCTTAAGAACACTAATGTTCTCTACATTTGTCTCTCATTTTAATATCCAGGGATTTGCTCTCTTCTTTTATCAATTCTCTCATTTTAAAAGTTAATTTTTAAGTCAGCAAAATGTTACCTTATTACTGAAGATGCCTCTGAAGCCTATTTTCAGTCAGAAGTTGTTGTTCATTTTTTTGAACTCGTACCATTTTATCTGTACATCTCTTAGTTTCTTTAATACTTTCTACTTCTTAGAATTGTCATCTGTATGTCTTATTTCCCCTTGGATTCTGATCTTCTTAAATTTGAAAATACTTAAAAAAAACACTTTTATTACATCACTTGAGTACATAGGGGAGTGTTTAAAAAGATTACAGCTACCACTCTGGTTTGAGTGTGTGTGTGTGTGTTTGTATGAGTGTGTGTGTGTGTTTACATTGCAGGAATCTTGAACGTGGAGCTATATGACAAACTATCAGCCATGAAGATTTGTATTTATTATTTACAGCACAGCACCCCTTGAAAACTTGCTTAAGACTTTCCCTGATATAATCCAGATCTGTATGTCATTTTGGGGCTCTTTAATTGAAAAATCACAAATGAGCATATCAAACTTAACTTTGTCTACTAAGAAGGTACCATACATTTCTCTTATTGTTTATAACTTATTTAAGTGAGAAGTGAGGATAATGCCGCTTGTTAAATTATATAATAAATATAAACATCTTTTAACTGCTATGAATAAAAATATTTTAAGATACTAAAAATGTAGCAGAAAAAAATATTGACACTGTGTACAGTTAGAAGATTAACAGCAAAACTGAGTACTGGGGGAAACTCAGACATGTAATCTAATCTGTCTAATATCAAAATTCATATATGATATAAAGTTTGAGGAGTCTCACAATTTAGGGACAGGTATTTTTGGAATCTGCTGGGCCATCTACTTGTCTTCACTGCCTCATACATATACATATATATGTAGAGAAATAACATTTTTAACTATTCTATTTGCCATTGGAACACAATGAATCTCTATTATTTACTTCTAATCATTGTTCATGAAGGCAGATAAAGTATTAGCTATACAAATGTTATTACATTTCTTCTTGGGAAGATAATGTGTGGGAACTTGTTAGCTTTCATCAACTCCAGAAAAATGCTCACTTATTAAGGAATTTATGCTGATATGCAATGACAAGTGAATTATTACACTGTAGAGTGCTTTGCTTAGAATGCATATTACTGTGCATGTAATCACAAATTCCTCAGGTTTCTGGAGTGTTACTTGGACTATATGCAACAAACCACCAAACACTAATGGGCTCAATTCTTTTCCTTCAGCTCTTCAAGGTTGCTCTTCCTCAGTGCAAACTATTCTGTGGCCCTATGTATAAGTGGGAAAGAAGAAAAACAAAATTCTACCCATCTAAATGAAAGTGGTAACGTTAATCTACCCCAAGGCACTAAACTGTAGTATTTTATTTAATCATTTATTTTAAAATCAACAGAATGCAACAGTAAATTACATTCCCCAAATCATAAGGACTGGTATTCAACACTTAACCTCAAGTCAGGGAAAACGTAAGTCTTGCAGTCAACTCTTCATCTGTCTCACATGGTCCACTGTATGTATCTGACTTGCTTTGCTTGCTTTTTTAAATGCTTGCCCAACTTGTTTTTCAACTTTGCTTTGTGGAAGGCTGCGTATGCCCTCAGGGCAGTATTCAGTACTTTCTGACAAACAGAAAGAATGTTGCTGACATAGCAAAATCTTCAGAAAGCCAGAAAAATGAAAAGTTTTTCTGAAACATATTTATAATTACATTGTGTACAAAATCTCAGATATTGATAGGAGCACATGTAATTGTTTCGCTGTTTCATATTTTTTTACAGTCCCAAGTTGTATGTTCATCTATAGTATAGGTGGTAATGAAATAGAAAACATATTATATATATAAGGAGAGAGACAGACAGAGAGAGAGAGAGAGAGAGAGAGAGAGAGGCTAGAGTATCCCACAATGATGTACGGCAAGATTTACATTAAGTTTCACTTTAAGCTTCAACGTAAATAGAAAACGTGTGGCATTGACAGGATCAAGATTTCCTGCCAGTGATTACAGAAATAATAAAAGTTGAGATGAGGATTGGGAAGGGACAGTAAACTCTTCCAATATTAAAGTTAATTGAGACAAGTTATGTTGTAATTTATTTACCAACTTCTTTTTTACACTATCATTCTCTTAAATATTTCTTTTTTTTTTCTGTGAGCTAAAAAAAGGCTTGGTTAGAATAGAATCAGTAGTAGCAAACATTGAACTAACTACATCAGCAAGAGAACAGGAATTAACTCGTTCTGAGAAAAGTTATGACTGTGAACACTGCTTTGATTTGTGGTGGGGAAGAGAAGAGTGACAATGATGATGAAAATAACTTAAGTCTTTCAAAGGGCTATAAAACATGCTTTGTTAAATCCTCCATAAAACTCATGAGGTAGGTAAAATATATTCATGAATATTCTTATACTACAAATACAAACTGAACTAAGATAGGTTTAGTGGTGTGCCCCAGTGTAATAGATAGCAAGTATGCTGTCATACCTATGTATGATAAATGGCAATTTGGTTTCAACACAGGCCTTTGTAAATAAATCTCTGATGTTTTACACATCTTAGTCTACACAGAGTTTATCAGAGAGATAACTATTAG